ATTCTATTCTATTCTATTCTATTCTATTCTATTCTATTCTATTCTATTCTATTCTATTCTATTCTATTTCTATAGATCATCCACTTTTTAAATCTATGGATGAAAGTGCAAACTTAGGTTAATTGATTCACTAACCATGTTAACTGTAGAGAATAGGACTAAATAGTTAACATGGGAAGTCCTCCGCTTACAAGTTTGTTTAGTGACCGTTCGAAGTTGCAATGGCACTGAAAAGTGACTTATGACCGTTTTTCACACGACCGTTGCAGCAGCCCTGTGATCAAAGTTCAGACGCTTGGCCGCTGACTCATATTTACAACGGTCTCAAGTGTCCCCGGGGGGAGGGGGGGACACATGAGCAAAATTCAGACGCTTGGCCAATGACTCGTATTTACGACGGTCTCAGTGATCCCTTTTTGTGACCTTCTTGCAAGCAAAGTCAGTGGCGAAGCCAGATTCATTTAACAACTGCAGTGATTCACTTAACAACGGTGGCCCCCCAAAAGCAACATTCACTAATGTTTCACCGAGCAACCCAAAAAAAATTGGGCTCAATCCATGGTGGCTGTAAGTCGAGGACTACTGCTATTCCAGCAGAAACCTCGAGAAAATGTTTCCCAAGACACCCTCTTGAGGTGTTACACTACACTCCCCATCATCCCCAGCCCCCCACGGCTCGTATTTATTAAGAGATCAGCGGGGCTTGGAAGGGTTAGCAAAAGAGCACGGAGGGAGGGGCACAACTCCGGGAACAGCCACACACACAGGCAAAAAGGGCACTAGTAGTGGAGGGCGGGGGGAAGCTCCCTTGGAACAGCCGAATCTACAACAGCGAGGGTTAGCCTCCCTCCCTCCGCGCGCCTTTTTAATCAGCCGAGAGACAAAAGAATCCAGATCTCTTACTATGTCGGAATGAGGAGCAGTTTCAGGAACGTGACGCCGGAGGCCAAAGCCAGAAACGAGCCTTTTCCTCCGTACCAACCTCGCCGCGCCGCCATGACACCCGCCCTCGCTTTCCCCCCCCGACGGGCGGACGGAAGAGGCGCCACAGCGCATGCGCCAGACACCAACCGTTTGGCTCCCGCTTTTTTTTTTTTTGAACGGCTTTTGGTGTCTGAGCATTTGCGCAAGCGTCGAGAAAGTCTAACCTTTGCGCCTGCGCAGTGGGGCTCGTTTGTGCGAGACATGCAGCTTGGGAGATATTTAAAGAGGAATAAACAGCCGCGTTGATTTCCCTGATCTTAATATTGTAAATATTAAATAACATTAAATATTGTAAATATTGCGTAAAACTGCAGGCGTGGAGTTCAGTTTAGCCACAATATCATATCTTGCTAAAAAAAAAAGTTCCATTACTCAATGCAAAATAAATTCTATAAATCAGTGGGATTTAATTGCTCAGCATGGCTGGCTGTGGAATTCTGGGAGTTGAAGTCCATACATCTTAAAAGTTGCCCAGTGGAGCAAAACTGGAGAAGAAAACACCATAAGTTGCTGGAATGCAGGATGTCTGTCGAATTGCATTAATTGCAATAAATCTGTTCCTGACGGGCCCACCTCATTTCTTATATTTTTAAAAACATTTCGAAGGGAAATCTAGCCACCTGCAAAATACCAGTCCTTCAAGTCTTAGAAAAATTAAAATGGTAGCAGGCTGCCATCTAATGTTTGGTTTGAAAATGCCAGAAATCAGGAATTTGAAAAACCCTCAGTTTTTTAAGCTTATTTCTAGCATGGTTCATATTATGGCATGCCATTCTGGAGGTGGTTAATGATGGTTAATGGACTAAGATAAAATCCTTTGTTTCCTCCTTTCTTTTCCCATCTTTGTGAATTTTTAAATCAATTTTAGTGTTGGGTTTTTTTTTTTAAACATAAAATCAGAGGGTTGGAAGTCATCTAGTCATCTTGCTCAGGCAGCAGACCCATTTTTTCAGAAAAAATGGCTGTCCAATTTCTTCTTGAAAACCTCCAGTGATAGAGCACCCACAACCTCTGGAGACGAGTGGCCCCAATGATTGATTGTTCTCACTGTCAGGAAATTTCTCCTTATTTCTAGGTTGCTTCTCTCCTTGATTAATTTCCATCCATTGCTTCTTTGTCCTTCTTAAAAGCTTCCAGTGAGAGTCCCTGAAGTACTGGAAGACAGTTATCATGTCTCTCAATTCCACCACATGATTTAGCCTCCAGATCCTTCATTATCTAGAATTCTAGTGCTCATGTATGAACGCTTTCTAGGGCAGTGATGGTGAACCTTTTTGTTGGGTGTGCCGAAAGCGCACGTGTGCCAGCACCCATAATGCAATGATCCCTGCCCCACTCCCTTACCTGCACTGTACATGCACATGCCTCCCAGCTGATTTTCAGCCTGTTTGAGGCCATTTTCGCCCTGCTGGAGACTCGAGGGAAGCCTCTGCAGGCTCAGGAGGCTGAAAAAAAGGCCCATTTTGGCACTTCCGGTATTTCCAGAAGGCCCGTTTTTCCGCCTCCTGAGGCTGCAGGGGCTTCCCCTGAGCCTTCGGGAAGGCGAAAATGGCCTCAAATGCGCCAAAAATCAGCTGGGAGGTGCGCACATGCACAGTGCAGGTAAGTTTGGCTGGGGCTCACGTGCCCGCACAAATGGCTCTGTGTGCTACCTGTGGCACATGTGCTATAGGTTTGCCATCACAGTTCTAGTGCCTCAGGATCTTTTTGGCATCGTGGTGACCAACATATGCAACATTCCAAGTGTAGCCTCACTAGTGCTTTTAGAGTTTTATCTTCTTTTACTGATAAATTGTGGCTGACAGGAGTGGTGCGGTGGCCTAAAGGTGGAGCTCTCGCCTCACAATCAGGAGGCGGTGAGTTCGATCCTAGGTAGAGGCAGACATTTCTCTCTCTGGGCACAGTTGAGAATATATCTGCTGAATATAACTCTGCACTGGCGACAGGAAGGGCATCTGGCCAGTAAACACTCAGCTCCATTCAGCTGCCCGGACTCCACTCCGCAAGGGTTTATGGGGTCATTAAAAGAAGATGGTGATAAAATGTGGGTGACACATTCAATAAATAAATATAAGTAAATATGGAATGATGACAATTCTACCCATAAAGGAGAATATTTGCAGCTTAGGGTTGAAATGAGGGGTCCTTGGTGCTCTCTGAGGTTGTTTTCTTGCAGACATTTCATCACCCAGCTAGGTAACAACATCAGTGCTAGAAAGAAGTGTGGTTTTTTTTTCTCAGTTTATATTCTAGTGGTTTGCCCTGTCAGTGTTAGTGGGGTGGCCTTAGAGATTCTTTAGTTGGGCTGTTGGCCCCTTTGGTAGTTTGTTGATTGGGGTATTGTTTACTTGATTATTGGTCCGATATTAATCTTAGAATAAATCTATGCTGATCTGGGTGCTGATTGTTGAGGTCATTTTATTCCCTTTTTGGCTATTTGATTATCTCTTTTGCGTAGTTTATAGATATTGTTAATGTCTACATGTCTGTTGATAGCTGATTAGTGAGAGTGGCTTCTAGCAATTCCCTGGCATTTGGTGGACCTGGCCTGGTCTAGGATTGTCACATTTTCGCCAATGACAATTGTAGTAAGACATGATATGGAGGACCCTGGAATTACAAGTCTATCATCTGCACCTCTATCACTGTCTGGTTTGGTTCTGCAACCCAACAGGACAGACACAGACTTCAGAGGATAATTAGGACTGCAGAAAAAGCAATTACTACCAACTTGCTTTCCATCGTGGACCTGTATATCGCATGAGTCAAAAAGAGGGCTGTGAAAATATTTACACATCCCGGACATAAACTATTTTAACTCCTTCCCTCAAAATGACACTATAGAGCACTGCACACCAGAACAATTAGACACAAGAACAGTTTTTTTCTTGAAAGCCATCACTCTGCTAAACAAACAATTCCCTCAATACTGTCCAACAGTTTACGAAGTCTGTACCACTATTACTATTAATCTTCTCATCACTCCTTATCGCCCATCCCCTCCCACTTGTGACTGTATGACTGTAACTTTGTCGCTCGTATCCTTATGATTTATATTGACTGTTTCCTAGTATGATTTGATTGCTTATTGTACCCTATGACTATCATTAAGTGTTGTACCTTATGATTCTTGACGAATATATCTTTTATGTATACTGAGAGTATTTGCACCAAGACAAATTCCTTGTGTGTCCAATCACACTTGGCCAATAAAGAATTCATTCATTCATTCATTCATTCATTCTATGTATCTATCTATCTATGTATCTATCTATCTATCTATCTATCTA